ATTGTGCATCGCTTTCACGCTTCTCGAAAGCACACAGCGGAAGTGGCCGGGGAGGTTCTTCCGTTCCTCCTAGAGGTGAGCAACCGCGGCGAGATGGCGCAGAAGGTGTTCTATCTGTTCGACAAGATCGCGGGCAACGCCATCATGCACTTGGTAGCAGGCAATCTCCGACACGACAAGATCCACAGATCCCCGCTAGTCCAGGCTCTGGCCAAGACTGTGCGCTGAAGGCACTCTGCCTTCTGAACAGATCCAACTACTGTTACACAAATGCTTTGGTGATTACACTCCTTCACATCCGCCTACTACATGGTGAGTCTTTGTACCCTAAAGCTCTGGACAGTTTTCTTCTTAGACTCCATCGTGCTTCCAACAGGCACATTTGGGATGATCTCGCCTGGAGCACCTTAGCCAGGGGTTGGCAGCGCCCAGCTCAGCAGCATGACGTTGTGGAGCTTTGCTCCTTCTTGGAGACACGAGAGCAGTTTCAGCATCCCTGTTTTCAAGGTAGGTGGCAGGCCAGATCTGCCGCTGCAGATGTCCAAGTTGCAGATGCAGGCCATACGTGGCCCTTGTTTCTTGCAGAGCTCCCTACAGAACACTGCTCCATACAGATGCTTGTTGATGCTTGGCACGCCCAGGCACACATCCACGCACTGAGTGCAGCGCCAACCTTTTTGCTGATTCAGCTGAATCGCTTCAACGGGGTTGATGGCAGACGCAGCCAATGCAAGGTTCAGTTTGGTAGCACCCTTTCTGTCCCCACCTACCTTCGTGACGATGATCTAGCCACAGGTCTCGTGCAGTACCGGCTAGTGTCTGTCATCATACACAAAGGGGTGTACAGTACCTCGGGGCACTATCAGGCTGCCACTGTCCATGGCGATCGTTTGTGGCTCCATGATGATGGGTCCAAGCCCAAGCTTCGGCGCAGCACTACTGACCTGACACCAAACCTTTACCTACTGTGTTACCACGCCACAAACTTGGAAGGGACTAGATGAGGTCACCTCTCTTGCGACTGGGTTGAGGACACCTCACCTGGAAGCTGCCTTCTTCTTTTCACACCACAGCCTGTAGCAGTGTACTGTACAGCGCGGGTCCTCCGCCAGTCACGTGCGTCTGAGGTCACCTCGATGCACGACGTGACGCGTTTCAACTTTTTAGCGCTCGCATTGCTGCTTGTTGGTCCTCAGGGACGGGCAATGCGTTGCAGTAGATCGCACTCTTGAAGTGCCGCATGTGTCAACAGTGCACATGTGCTGGCGACACGCCTGGTGAGACTCTCTCTCGCTGCGTCCGAAAGAAGCTTTGGGTGGCCCATCATAGCCCATCATTATGTGAAACGTCTGGGCTTGCTTCTACACCTACGGACATGCTACTGCACCCATATACCAGTGCTTCTCCTGTTTTTTTGTTCTGCTTCCGCTTCTTCCTGACATCCTGATTCGAGCGGCGCAGAACAAACTGAGCTCGCCCAACAATGTGCCTCCCCCCTTTAAAGACAATCGTAAGACCTGGAAATGATGTGTGCTCAGGCACGCGGTGCGAAACACCTGCGTGTGCTGCCTTGTGCGCGTTTATGCCACCCTTCGCCTGAGCATGGCTGCTTGTAGCATCTATGTTTACGTCCGTGTAAGAGCACCTATCGAAAGTTACCTGCTGGAACCACATTCTAAGTCCGGAAAACCTGTCTGAGAGCCTTGATGGCATAGTCCACGTCAGCGACTCTCCTGCCAATCTCCCGTCGGATCTGTTCGTCGTCCTCCTGGCCATAGGAGAGCCGAGGTTGCTTGGCGAAAAGGTCCGGGCAACTGCACAATGCAACGCGCATATGTGATTTGCAGGCCAAAGCAAAACACCCTGAGATCCTAGAAGCCTGAAGCTCAAGCATCGCAAGGCGATCCACCCTGAACCCCAAACATCTTTGAGGTGGACATTTCTTGGAGCTTCTATTAGATGATTAGAACTCACACGTGCAAAAGGCGGCCTCCTTCAGGATCCTTCATTGGGTATCCGATGATGATCAAGACTTCAAAACCAGCTTCAGGTCATGGACCATCAATAGGTGGCACACTGTAAGGCACTGTAAGAACAATGATGACACCAACGATGCTGCACAACTTGAGGACTGTTGCCATTGTCTCCAAGGCTTCGTACTGCCACCATCGTCACGGTCATCATCGTAACAATGAGTCAACGGTCACTACCTCATGAAACTCTGGGCTCGGGGAGGCTTCTCCAGGTGCCCAGCCCGACACCCAAAGCATGATCCTGCCGAGTGCACGTTGCATGGACGATGGAGCCCCGATATCCTGCGCGGGTCTGGTTATTCGCTTTGGCTGCAAGGAGCCACGACTCCGGATCGCTAGATCCGAGGCATGCAGCTACAGCCTAAACACCGCCTCGGAGCTCAAAGACTGCCCAAAAGCACAAAAAGAACTGACCACCTCGCAAATGGAGGATCACGAGATGTAAGCCTCACCCAGGAGGGTAACTACAAATATTGTCCAGCGACGCCTGGGTGTTCACAGTCACAAACACCACATCATCACCGGCACATAAGCTGTTGTCAGGCATGAAGGGTTAGTATGGCGCCCGATGAGGGTGTGGAAGGAGGACAGTTGACAAGATGACTGAAAATAAACTGCACAAATATCCAATACGTCAAGTTCGCCCGAGCGGCATGCGAAAGCTTCCTGACAAGTAGCGTGTCAAACGAGTATGTTATGAACCTCCAACTGGTCCTGATGCGCGAGGTTTGGTAGGACAACTGCGTCACTTAACCCTGGTGACATGTGATGAAAGAGCTGTAGAATTGCCTCCTGCCTGACCTCCCTCCCTCCTTCCCTCCATCGATCGTTTGTCCCTGCTTTTACTTGCTGCCTCATGTGCTTTTTCCAGTCCTTCCATCGCGCCGTCCAAGCCTGTTGAAGCCTGCTGGCTGGCACCTACCACCACTCCTGATAATCATCAGACCCATAAGTTCGCGGTATTTTTCGATAGCACAAATGCAATAATCCGACGACGACGACGACGACGACGACTGCTACTGCTACTGCTACTCCTACTCCTACCTCCTCCTCGTCCTCCTCCTCCTCCTACTACTACTACTACTACTACTGCTACTACCACCAATAATAATCATGAATCATAATCATAATTACAATCATCACCATCAAATCGACTATAGCTAAAAAGTACAATAATAGTCAACAAAATGATAATAGCAAAAGTTGTAATCATAAATATTATCTTACTGATTTTACTGTAACTAGAAATACCAATAACAACTTTACAAATAAACCGAAATTTAAAAGAAACAATCACGCATGATGGTAAAGTCCTAGGCCCAACTGCTCCGACTCGTGAAGCGCCGCGAGACCGTTCAAGCGATCCACCTGTCACGTTCCTTGATGCTCTGTGGACTCTAAACACGTCTACTGTACCTGTTACAACCTTTTCTAAGTGACTTTCATTCTTCGGATGCCAGGCCTTTATAGAGTATTCTTGTGGGTGTCGAAGGCTCTGGAGGACACGGGTTTGTACAGGCCGTACACGCTTTCTGGTGGTGTAGAATATGTTGTGTTGAGAACTGCATGGCATGAGCTTAGGGCAGGGGTTCCGCCGTTCATTTTCAGGCGAGGAAATGGGTTTCGTTGTGCGGGGGCCTCGGGCAGTTCTGTGTGGTTTGCAAGTGAAGGGGGTCATCCCTGGCTTAGCTAGCCACACCACAACTTTTCCGTACTTGTGGTAAGCCTCTAAGAATGGATAGACTAGAAGAAGATACCCGCGGGTACTAAGGTTTACCTTCGCCTTCAACGGTGCGGTCGCATCCCGTTCATGTGCTTTTCTCACGTGAGATGAATCCGCAAAGTCAACAAGACCCTAACACAATGTGCTCGTACAACGATCTTGGTATCATGTCATCTAGGAATCTAATCCTAATGCTAAACATCCTGGTGGATCTCTATGTATGCATGTTTGTGTATATATATTTGTGTGTATGTGTGTATACATATATATATATATGTGTGTGTGTGTGTCTTTGTGTATGTGTTTGGGATGTAAAAGGGGCATTGTTGCTACAAGGAGCACTTCCCTTTCCCGGGGCTTTTTCACAGCCCTCGGGTTTGGAGCTCTGGGCATGTTTCGAAAAAGAAGCATTTTGAAGCGAGTTCTTGGGGGCTGCTCCTTTAGCCTCACAGGTTTGCATGCTTCGTCCAGATCAGGCCAATATCAAACTCACGACGACCGCACCCACCTTCTAAACGGAGTGCTAGCGAGGAAACCCCCTTCCTTAACAACCATGTTAGAGTGATACTCGTGCTTTCTGCAGCAACCATGAAATCAGAAAGTTCTACCTATGAACCCTCAACTGCCTCATGTTCTCATGTACCCCCCCCCCCCGCGACAAGCCCTGCTCTGTGAGCCGTCCCCCGACCAACAATGCGAGTAGTGGCAAGAGCAGCTAGAATCAGCCGAAAAAGATAACAGTAGAAGGCAAAGCAGTAGCGCAGGAGTCGATATGAGGCTAGTAACCGAGTAGCAGTCGTCGTCCTTGTCAGCAGCGACACGTCCAGAACCAATGAATACAGCAACCGTAAGTATATGCTCTCTGTCATCATGTCCAATGCAGTATCGTATCGCTGTTTCTGTCCCTCCACCTCGAGGAAGCAGAAGGCACCTCAACGGTGTTCAGCGGCTTTTTGTAGCGGATGCTCAAAATGTGATCAAAGGGTCTTGCCACGCTATGTCAAGGTTCAGGGCTTTCAGGTG